ACCACACCCAGCATTCAAGACAAAATTTGTTCAGCAAGTTTTTGTAAGTATGTCTCAAAATCCTTGTCTTTAAAGTGGTGGAGGGGGTGCCAGGGAGATAGCTCAGTATCTTCTGGAGGAGAAAGTAGGTAGAAATCCTAAAGACATAGGGTAGGCACAGAGTTTATGAACAAAAACCAAACTGCATGGGAAATACTTCAAAGAATCAACAACTGGGATCTCTCTTTTTGGAAAGTTTCTACACATCAAAAGAAACCATCAAGAGTAAAAAGAAAACTCATGAATTGAGAAAAAATTATAACCAACTGTCCCTCAGACAACGGACTTCTATTTTTTTTATGTCTTTGGTAAGGGTCACACTACGCAGCTCAGATTCATAGTGTTTTCACCCTCCCCAGCGCTGGGATTATAGGATACACTACCACTCAGCACACCCCAGGGGTGGGGCCCACACAGCATGTAGTATGGGGGTGAGGGTCCCTGTGATTGCCTAAGCAGGTGCTTAGTCTTCTGAGCTATCTCACTGGCTCAGACAAAGGACTTCTACATAGAAATATCAAGAACTTAAAAATATCAGGCCTCCAAAATTCAAACACCCAATACAAAAATGGGCATCCAGGATGAAATACATGTCACAAATGAAGAACTATAAATGGAAAATACATGAAAAAATATTCAACATCATTTGTCATTCAAGAGATGCAAATTAAAACAACGCTAAGATTTCATCTTACCCCAGAAACAATGGCTATCATCAGGAAATCAAGGGCTAGGAAGATAGCTCAGTGGCTTAAATGCCTCCCTGGCAAGCACAAGGTCCTGAGTTTGATTGCTGGTACAAAAAAAAATTAAAATTAAAAATCAAAATCAACCAATAACAAATGCTGGAGAGAAAAAAGGAACCCTTTTCCACTCTTGTTGGGAGTTCAGACTGGTACAACCACTTTGGGAATTAGTATGGAGATTCTTCAAAAAGCTAGCATTGGAGGTCCCATTCAACCTTGCTATTCCCCTCCTGGGTATTTTTCCAGAAGAACTGAAATCATCATACCACAGCAATATATGTGCACCCATGTTTATAGCAGCACAATTTGTCATAGCTAAATTTGGAAACAACCCAAATGCTCATCAATTAAGGAATGGATAAAAAAGATGTGGTATGTGGTATTTTTATACAATGGAGTATTACCCAGACATAAAAAATGTAAATTTGAGGGTTTTATAAATGGATGCAACTAGAGACTATACCTATAAGTGAAATAAATCAAACCTACATGTGCAAACATCACACTGTCTCACTAGTGGGAAAATCTGAAAGAGTAAATAAAATCTGAAGGGTACAAAAGAGATACTGGGAAAGACAAAGAATCTGTTCAATGAGAAGGAAAAGCTGGGATGAGGAAAAGGACAAAAGAAACAAGGGAAAAAGATATTTATGTATATATTCAGGATAGCTTACATACATGTACTGCTGATTTCTGCTAGTCTACTGAAAAGAGCAGTCAATGCTTAAATTATTTTTCTTCTTTTTCATTTCTTCTTTTTTTATGTATTTGTTAGAGGGCCTCACTATGCAGCTCAGACTTGTAGTGATCCTCCTGTTTTCAGCCTCCCCAGTGCTGGGATTATAGGCATGTGCCACCATGCTCAGACTTGGTCCCAGGCTCAGTGTGCGTGAGGGTGGGGCCAGCGTGGCATGTGTACCAGAAATGGAACCCTGGTCCCTATGCTTGCCGAAGGAAGCTCTTAGTTGGCTGTGCTATCTCACTGGCCCTTTCTTCTATTTTCTTTTTTTTTTTTTTTGGTGGAACCGGGGATTGATCTCAGACCCTTGCGCTTGCTAGGGAAGCGCTTATCCTACTGAGCCATCTCCCCGGGCCCATTACTGGCCCTTTCTTCTAACTTTTTTATCTTTACCAGTGTTGCAGGTTTAGATCTGGTAATCTGAACAATTAATTTGGAGATAAAATTATGCAATACAACCATTGTTGAATTCCTATTTGTTTAATGAAATTTTGTATCATTTCTAGTGTTTTTTGTTTACCATTTTGTACTTTAAAAAAAAAAAAAAAGCCCCAGCTGGATGTGGTGGCATACACATGTCATCCCAGTACTAGGGATGCTGAGACAGGAAGAATTGTCAGTTCAAGGCCAGCCTGAACTACATAGCAAGATCCTGTGTCAGAAAACAAAAAAATTATAGTTTGAACCCAGCCTGGGGCAACTTAGTGAGATCATGTCTCAAATTAAAAGGCAAAAAGGGATGAGGATATGGCACAGTGTGAAGACCCTGGGCTCAAGCCCCACACCAAAGGCAGGGAGGATGTGATTCAATGGTAGAGCACTTGCCTAGCATACTCAAAGGTCCTGAGCTTGAGCCACTGTACTGCAAAACAAAACAATTTACTTATCTGGACATGGTGGCACACATTTGTAATCTCTGCACTTTGGAGGATGAGGCAGAAGGATTGCTGCAAGTTCGAGGCCTGCCTGGGCTACACAGTAAGTTCAAATCCAACCTGAATTGCAGAGCAAGATCCTATCTCAAAAGTCAAACAAACAAAAACCAACAATAATAACAACAAAATTAATTCATTAATTTATGCATCAAATATCTCAAGTCTACCTACTGTGCTGCCTGGCTTTATAAGGGACACTGAAATAAGTAGAGACAAAGCTTAAACATTTGGCTTGAAGGTTAAAGAATAAATCACATTTTGAGGGAAGCACTGAGGAAGCTACTGTACTTCAACTTTTCAGGGAGAACTAATGAGTTTTTGATTTAGAGCAAGGGCAAAGGAGATTGGTGGGAAAGCAGGGATGTTTGGTCAGAAGAGTTTTACTAGCTTCATTATTTAGCCATTCTTTTTTTTTTTTTTCAGAACCGGGGATTGAATTCAGGCCCTTGCACTTGCCAGGCAAGCGCTTATTCTACTGAGCTATCTCCCCGGCCCCTGGCCATCCATATTAACATTTTGCTTTCTTCAAGCATCTACTAAATACCTATAATGTATCATTTCCTCCATCCATTATCTTATTCCATCTTCACAACCACTTTATTTTTTTGTTTTCCTAGCATTGACAATTGAAACTATCTGTAAATCAAAAGCTCTATTGCTGAGGTATGTCACCAGTCTTTTTTTTTTTTTTTTTACTTTTAATACAGGCTCTCTTAAATTGCTCAGGCTGGCTTTGAATTTTTTCTCTTTCTGCCTCACCGTCCCAAACTGGGGCTACAGGTGTACACCATCACACAAAACTGTCATCATTTTTTTTAAGGTTTTTTTTTTTTTTTAGATATGGTCTTGCTGTATAGTCCAGGCTGATTTCAAGCTCACGATGTGTAAATCCAGTCTGGAACTGGTGGCTATCCTCCTGCCTCATCCTCCAAAGTGCTGGGATCACAGGTCTGTGTCACCAGGTTTTACACACTTCACTTTTTTGGTTGTTTTTAAGTCAACTGTCTTTAATTTCTTTCTTTTTCTTTTTTAAAATGTATTTAGTACAGGGTCTCACTACACAGATCCGACTTGCAGTGATCCTGTTCTTCAGCCTCCCAAATGCTGGGATTACAGGCATGTGCCATCATACCCAGTCTCAATGGCTGTCTCAGGGCACCCTGGGGATGCCGCTGGCAGAGCAGGCTAGAGATGGAACCCTCGGCCCCTGCATCTGTCTAGGCAGGCGCTTTAATTGCTAAACTATCTGGCCAGCCCTTTAATTCCTTTTCATAACTGCAAACTCCAACAGAATTCATTTTAAGTTTTGGGCAAATCTCCTTCCAGCTTTGTATTGCTATTCCAAGAGGAAGTGGTAGTGGAAAGATAAAGGTAATAAGCATATGCTTTGTTTTCTGAGTGATGTGCAGTTTCTAGAATATCCCCCCAATAATAAGAAATCAGTATTCTACTTTATTATGGGGCCCAGGAAGGAACACTTAGGAGGATGCAAACACAGCTCTGATCTTCGAGAGTACGGGGAACTACACAGAACAAAAGAATATAAATTACAGGATACAAAGTGACAGAACTATAACAGAGGGTTGCTCAAGCACTAGCCCAGCTCTCTAAAGGTTGGCAACTGTATCTTACAGAAGGTGGAAACATTTGAACCAGGTTTTTAAGAATCAATAGGGGTTCTCAAAGTGCATCTGGGAAAGAAGTTTCAAAAGTCTTTTATATTTATTTATTTGACAGAGGGTCTCTCTAGTCAGCTTAGGCTGGCCTCAAATTTTTGATCATCTGGTTTTAGCCTCCTGTGGGTTGGGATTACAGGCATGTGCCACCACATTTTTACTTATTTATTTATTTATTTATTTTTTTGTGGAACCGGGGATTGAACTCAGGCCCTTGCGCTTGCCAGGCAAGCGCTTATTCTACTGAGTAGCTTATTCTATTTATTCACTATGTAGCCCGAGCTGATCTCAAACTTTCACTGACCCCCCTCCCCCAGCCTTGTCCTCCCAAGTGCTGGAGTTACAGGCGTGTGCAACCACGTTCAGCCCCCCAATCATTTTTATCAGGACCAAAAATAAATCATTCATTTAGGACACCTATACAATGCTCAGGTCTGTCTTAGAAATTAAGAATGGTAAGGGTATTCTGGGGATACCCTGGGTCAGCAGAGAAGCAGATTAGGAAGCTAGGCCTCAAAGCAGCCACAGACAAGATATGCAGACCGACCCAGCTCTCCGAGGGTCCACCAGCTCTACACGTGTACTACCCAGGAAGTACAGGCCAGGCGCAGAAAAAAGTCTTCCCATCATCCCCCGCGGACCAAGGCAAGCGAACACTAGAATAGTTACCACTGCCATCCAGAGGCCAGCCTTCTGATTGGCCCGAGCTTCCGCAGCTAGTCTCTCAGCTCCAAGACAGGGGGCGGAGTCTCAGTATAGCGTCACCACTTTTCTTCTCCACCCCGTCCGGTACATACCAATCTAGCCACTCAGCAGTCCGCTTCAAGGGACTCTCTGTGACGTCACGCCTCCTCCCAGCCAACCGCGACGGCAGAGAGGTGGGATTCCAAGTCCCGCCCACCATTTTTCCCTTTTTCTCCCCCGGACTCGTTACGCCCCTCCTCTTCCCCATCTCTCCTTCGCAGACCTCCCTTACGCTCGGTTTCAAAAGACTCTTTGCCCAATGAGTAATGAGGAAGACTTCGAATGGCAGCCTCGTCGGCCAATACGCACGCAGAAAGGGCGGAGCGTCCTTAGCGTGCCTCTGACGGCAGGCGGCGTGTGACGCAGTCGGGCCCTCTGCGCTCCTGCGCCCGAAGCGGCGGTCGGTAGCAGCGGTGGCGGCGGCGGCGGCGGCAGCGACGGTTTTCTGGTGGCCGCGCGCTGCTCTGTGAGCAGCGGGTGGCGGACGGGCCTCGGCCCCCCACTCTGACACTCTGCCTTCCCCAACACACCGCGGTAAGTTGGGAACCCGAGCAGCGGCGACCCTGGACCAGCAGGCTCCTCCTCTCCGGGCGGGCGGGTGCGCGAGGCGTCCAGGGCCCTCTCGACTCTGAAGTCTCCCGCCCCAGCCGACTGGGTCACCGCTGAGCGAGGAGGCGGGGTCCGCGACCTTTGGCCCCGTAGCCCAGCTCCTCAGGCTCTGGTAGAGATTGGGCACCAGTGGGTTCTAGGCCTGAAGTCTTCCATGGCAGCCCACGCGGAGGGGGCTTCCATTTCTGTGGTCATCGTCATTCATTCCCTGGACTGTGATTAGGAGCCTGCGACTCCTTTCTGTGCGAGGACAGCACCTTGAGACCCTAGTGGGGTCTCCTCATAGTTGTTTGACTATGATACTCGATGGGCTTTGTCTTCGTTGGGTGTATGGAAGAAGTGCGAGGGTGAGGATGGGTGAGTCGGAAGTTCTTTTGAAGACAGTATTTGAGAATTAGGGTCGTTTCGTGTAGGTAAAAGGTTCTTTTCTGGTATTCCACATGATCCTTGTAAAGCTAGGTAAGAAAGATTGGATTCCTGGATTTTTGTAGCCACAAGGACGTTAGAAAACTTAATTCAGTCTTTCTATGCAACTTTATACATGGAGATTTTGAGGCCCAGACCAAGAGACAGTTTCTCCTATTCCACCTTCATGTATGTTCCAGGCTACCGTTAAGTATTGTTTGGTGAATGGTGAGGACGTGTACCGAGGCATTTGATAGATACACAATAGCGTTTCCGATTTGGTCTCCTTACAGTAGACACTTCTTTAGTGGTGTTTAACCTACGCTGAAACGTTGGTAAAAGCCGGTGGTGCTATGTTGGAAATAAATCTATAAAAATCGTTCTTGTTCTTCTAAATCTAAATTGACTTGCCTGTATACTGGTGCGAAAAAAGTAGTCCAGTTAGGGAGATACCGAAGCCCTGGAATAATTACAGCAGGAAGTAATCTCAATGTTTAGGAAGCCAGGCAGCTGTCATTTTGTAGTATCTTGGAACTCATGGTGACTCAGGTACACAGTTCAAAGTGAAATATTGTAGTAGGGTAAGTCGGAGACATTAAACATTTGGATGAAGTCATTAACTGGAAGAAAGAAAATAGCTATGTTTATTTCCCTTAACAGTTTTATTTTTATTTATTTATTTATTTATTTATTGCGGTACTGGGGATTGAACTCAGGACCTAGTGTGCTATCTCCTGGGCCCTCCCTTAACAGTTTTAGAAATTCAGAAATAAGTGGTGGCAGATGTTTACTTGGTGGAAATTAGCACATTTAAAAAGCAAAACCAAGTCATGCATGTGATACATGTCTATACTCAAAGCTACTTGAGGCTGAGGCAAGAGGATCTCTTGAACCTGGAGTTTTAGACAAGCCTGGAGAACATGTCAAGATGCCTGAACCCTTCAACAAAACAAGAAATGAAAAGTGTTAACTGGAGGTTGAGTAGTATGGAAGGAAACAGCTTTGATAAAATTGTGTTTTTGCGACAGGATCTTTGTAATATAGGCTGGCCTTGAACTAATTATGTAGCCCAGGTTGCCTCCAATTTGTGAGAATCCTGCTGCCTCCTGAGTGCTGGGATTATGGGTTTATGGAATCACAACCAACTTGGATAAATTTATTTTTGACTCTTCAGTATTCATTGAAGTTAACTTGTTGGCACTTTGTTCTGTACACATTGGTCAGATAAGGCCCAAATAAGGGAATTTATACTGTTTATGCTTTATGTGGTACTTTATATCTGACTTCCAAGTAACTCTTAGATTACCAAGATTAAGTAGAATTTTTTTTTGTGTGTGTGTGTGTGTGTTTTGCATCTTGAATGCCTTCAGGGCACTTTTGTATGGCTGGGGTGTTGTGGGGATCGAACTACAGCAAACTGAGGCTGCCAGCATTGTGGAAGCAGCCACTTAAAGAACTGAGCTAGGGCTGGGCCCCCGTAAGTAGAATTTTTTAGGAAACCAAGTTGACACCTTAGAAAAAAGTGGTGTCATATTTACCGTAATATGTGGTGACAGTATAAAGTGTACTAATGCAGGTATTTACTTTCTTTTTTTTTTTTTTTTAATTATTTATTTATTACATTTATTTATTGTGTGTGTGTGTGGCCAGCTCAGCCCACCAGGGGGCGGGGCTGGCTGGCATGTGGTGCCGGGGGATCGAACCGCGGCCCCTGTGCTTTGCCAAGCTTGTTTCAAGTAGGTGCTTTAGACCACTGAGCCATATCTCCAGCCCAGGTATTTACTTTCTAATAAAGAGAATACTGTATCAGTAGATACGTACTTCATTAAAAAGTTAGAGGACTAAGAAATTTAGAGATGTAATAGAAACAGGGGTATGAAAATATTCCCTGAGTATTTGGCACATTGTGTTTAGAATTGACTGGGTATCTGGTACATAGTGTATCTCTATAAAGAAAGGTTCCTTAGCTGAAGCACTTTTGATTGTTTGGCTTCTCTATCCATTGGATACACATAATATCTCCTCCTTGGGTTGTGAAAGTCCTCAGAAAATGTAAATTGCCCCTCATTTAGACCACACCTTCAGTAAAAATAATCCCAGTATTGTAGCGAAATCATACCTTTAATTTGCTTGATGTCTGTAAAGTAAGTTAATAAGTAGTATTTGTTAAAAAAAAAAGTTGTCCAAGATAAAAATTAAAAGAAACAAAACATTGACCAGGAAGAATTAAGTTCTGACAGTAGGAAGTTGAAAACTTAAGTTCTAGAGTGACTTGTTGTGTTTCCCATTTTTGAGTCATCTCTTCCTTGTTATATTTCTTTGGTTACTTCCCTTTTTCTGGCATAGGAGAAATCAAGATCTTGTTTGAAAGAAGATACATTGTAAACTGTGGCTCACACCTGTAATCCCAGCAATCTCAAGGCTGAGGCGGGAGGATTGTGAGTTTGAGACCAGCTGGGGCTACAAAGTGAGCTAAAGGCCAGTCTGGACAGCATAGTGAAACTCTGTTTAAAAAAGATACACAGGGGCTGGAGAGATGGCTCAGTGGTCTAAATCACCTACTTGAAACAAGCTTGGCAAAGCACAGGGACCGCGGTTGGATCCCCAGTACCACATGCCAGCCAGACCCGCCCCCTGGTGGGCTGAGCTGGCCACACACACACACACACACACACACAATAAATAAATGTAATAAATAAAAATAAATAAATATTTAA